ATTCTGCTGTGAAAACGTGTATTTTTGTTAGGATAATTCTGCTTTACATCATAGATTCAGTGGTTGTTGCTTTAACTCACATCTCTGTCTCTCTTTGTGGTTGTTTTGCATCTTTTTTCCGACCTGATGGTGCTTTCAGAACAACAAAACAACCTTCATCCTGTTTGCTTTATATTTATGCAACTATCTAATACAGAATGGTGTTCTGTTCGTTTTGTACCCAGACGACAGAAATGGATCCAGACTACGTCATGAAGCACAAGTCAAACTGAACAAAGCCAAACCTCCCAAGCTGCTCGACCAAACAAACTGGAGGCTGCAGGTGGTTCTGAATGTGTGAAAACAGCCTCGCAGAACAGACGCAAACCGCTGAATGTGAGTGAATGGGACGAAGCATTCCTGAGCGGTAGCGCTGATCTCACCGAGCCTCGAGCGTCAGCGAGCTGGACTTCAACCAACTGATGTGAGCGTTTGTGTTGAGTCACATTTGGCCTGAAAAACGTCTTCAGGAGGAATTTAACCTCAGCTGAGCGCCGCTAAACGCTTCCAGATGGAGGGAAAGCCCCACCGCTCTGCTTCCTGTGGCCCTGGTCCCTCCCTCTAATCCTCATCCATCCACCCTCATCCATCCACCCTCATCCATCCACCCTCATCCATCCATCCACCCGCCCAGATGAGGCGTTCTGCTGATGCTGTCATTCAGGCTGACTCAATCTGAGGGCAACAGGGACACTCCAGCAGGACGAGGAGAAGCTGTTTTCTGCAGCAACAATCATATAAAACCTATTTAAAATACCTCACTTTAGTTTAGATTACAGTCCCGGGCTGTTTACACTGGTGCATCTGGTCGTTTCTGAACAGAACAGCATAGACACTTTAAAAAATAACTCAAGGGAACAATAAAAGGATTCACCCGCCTTGAAAATGTTCTGCTGTTGTTGCTTTTCAACACTGAATCATAACCAATTGAATTTGGCTTTATTGACAAGACATTACAGAAAAAAAAGATTATTTCATGCCAGAGAATGGATACAAGAAAGTTTCCAAGTCACTGAATATCTCTTGGAGTCCAGTTAAATCCATCATTAACAAATGGAAGGAATATGGAACAAGAGTAGATCTGACTAGAGCAGGACGTCCTCAAAGACTGGAGCAAGAAGGAGACTAGAGAGGGAGGCCACCAAGACTCCTATGACTCCTCTGAAGGAGGTACAAGAAGGAGACTAGAGAGGGAGGCCACCAAGACACCTATGACTCCTCTGAAGGAGTTTCCAGCTTCAGCAGCTGAGATAGGAGAGACTGTTCATACAACAACTGTTGTCTGTTCTTCACCAGTCAAAGCTTTATGCGAGACAAAGAGAAAGACTCTGTTGGAAAAAGCTCAGATTAAATCTGGACTAGAGTTCACCAGAAGACATGTGGAGACTCTGGAGTCACCTGGAAGAAGGTTCTTTAGTCTGATCAGAGCAAAATTTAGCTTTTTGTCCATCTGATTTGATGCTATATTCGGCGGACACCAATCACTGCACACCATCCCCATTGTGAAGCACGGTGGTGGCAGCATCATGACGTGAAGCACGGTGGTGGCAGCATCATGACGTGAAGCACAGTGGTGGCAGCATCATGATGTGGGAATCTTCTCAGCAGCAGCCTGGAAGGCTTGTGAAGGTAGAGGGTGAATGAACGCAGCAAAGTGTAGAGAAATCCTGGAGGACAACCTGATGCAGTCTGCAGGAGAACTGAGACTTGGAGAAGATTTGTTTTCCATCAAGACAATGAGCCGAAGCAGACAGCCAAAGCTCCACAGAAATGGTTTAAAGACAACAAGGTGAAGTTCTGGAGGCCCGGTCAGATCAGATTCAAATGTATTGATTTAGATATAATGTTAAGTTTCAAACATTGCTGTGATGGGTCTAGACTTTATCTGGATGTTGTTTTCAGTGTTTCTCTCAGCTCAGCTTCCTGCGACATTTCCCTCCACCAGAAGTCAGTATCTTAAACTGCAGCTGTTATCAACCTCACAATCCTTTCTGCTCTCTGGTGACTTTCATTTGCCAAATTTGTAACAACTTGTGCAGTGCAGCAGGTGGATGTTCCTCTCTGTTCCCCTTTGAGGGCTGCCTTCAGTGTCAGCAGCACAAAAACACACATTTCTGACATTTCAGAACACCACTGTGCATGCTGAGAAGCACAAGGCATCTTTATAATTTCCTCCTCGCACTGAGAACGTAAGAGGACCCCTGACGGTTCCCTGAGGAACTCCTCTGTGACGGTTTATGAGCGCTAACAGGACTGTTTCCCACAGAACCTCACAGCCCAGAGTTTGGGCTGAGTTATGTGACTCGAAGTGTTTGGCTCCACACCCTGAACCTCACTGCCGTCGAATAAAACCTTCAGCGAACTGTGGGAATCATCAGACACGGGCCTCAGAGTTCAACTGATGCGCAAACACAAACATACGTACAACAAAGCAGCAGCAACACAGTAACAGTCGGCTCAGATTTATTCTAAACAAACTCAGATACGTGTCCTTTAAAGATCTTCTCCTGCAGTTTTATTTCCACCAACATGACTAACATTAAGTGGATCTCAGCAGATGCTTCTAAAAGTGACTTGTTTTGTCTTTAATTGTTTAAAGCTTAATCCTCTCTATTTAAACTGTGCTGAGCTGTCCGTGAGCAGCTCCTGTCTGCAGCTAATTATCACTGGATTACTGTGATTATGAAGGAAAATGAAAAACAGACAACATTTCAAGCAGCTTCTGCAGTTATAAGAAGTCCTTTCTCTGATTTCTTGGCCATTTTTTCTCATATTTATTGGATATCTGGGCTGAATGCTTAGAAAGTCACAGTAAACCTAAATGCATATTTTGACCCAAAAGGTACCAATATACTTTACAGCACCCAGTAATACAAAAACATAATAAAATTTCAACTTAATCTGATCAAAATGTAATAAAACTCAATATTTACATACTTGACCAACAAAATAATAAAATTAAAGGACAACTGATGATTAGAGTCAATATTCAGCATTTTTCAGATTATATTTAGTTTTTAATCTGTTCTTGATGGAATAAATTAATTAAAAAATGCGGTACTTTGTGTTTTCTATATTTTGACACCATTATTCTAATATTTAAATGCTTATCGATTTCAGGTATCGATTATCAATCTCCTTGATTACTAAGTAACACATTAGTCGACTCATAAATAAAACATTTTTAGTGATACTGTAATAATAATTTAATATAATTCAGGTGAACAATTTCATTCTCAAATTCTTATTCTCAGAATGTGTAATATGATATTTCTGGCAGACGATGTAATACTGCATTTGTGTTTTCAAGGTTAAAATCATGTTTTTATTCCCTGAAAGGCTTCAGTTTGTTTTTACAGGTTGCATTTTCTCAGAAATGTGGAAGTTCTGATTTCATTCAATCTCTAAAACCTCCATATGTCTCACTTCTTAGAAAATGCTGACCCATCAGTTCTCCGTGTGAGTCACAGTTTTATCTGTGAATTTAGCAACACAGCAGCTTCAGCAGCACTGACTGAATATTCACAGGAGAGACGTTTCACTGAGAAATAAAACTGAAAATCACAGTTTCAGTGTCAATATCTCTGCAGACCCAAACACAGAATCCTACAAGACCTCCATATAAGACTGTATGTAGCACCGATACCATGATGTGTTCTGTTCTTTCCTTTATATACATGAAGTCAAACTTTCTAACAGAAGCGACGCCAGAATTGAAACCCGCTCCTGACTGCTTGTTGTCATGGATCGAACCTCCTGAAAAGCCTCCCAGAGCGTCGACTCTCTCCGTTTCTAGTTTCACATCTGCATTTACAAACTGCGGTTTCCCATCAGCAGCACTGACTCATCAGAGGAAACAGACCGAAGACGAAGCCGGACGAAGAGTTTCACAACAAGCGTTCACTGTCACGAGTCGACAGCGTGTCCTGAGGATGAAGCCACACAAGTCAGAGGGAGATACCTCCGCTGGAGCCAGAGATGAAAGCCAGAAGGTGGACCACAGGTTTTATGAAAACATGTAACACAGATTATTCTCCTGATGTTCTGAAATCCACTAAAAACTGGCCCAGCATTGAAAGATGTAGTTCAAACCTTTGAACAACATACATCAGGATCACTTATGTGTCACTCAGACATTCTCCAAAAAGAAAGAGTTTGCAACAGATCCTTAAAAAAAAGAACCAGAACGTTCCTCCTCCCGGTTCTGATCCTGTAGAACCAGAACTTTCCATTCAGAGAGTTTCCAGGTGAACTGCAGGCAGTGTTTCAGTGACAAGAGACTCATTGGAATTGAAATTGTTCCAAATGACACTAAAGTTTTCATTTTTAACAAGTTTAATTTGATTTTGGACATTTTCAAGTAATTTTTAACATTTAATTGTTAATTTGGACAAATTTTGGTCATTGAATCAGATTTCAAGTACATTTTAACTATTTTTGACTCACATTTTGGACAAATTTTTAAGTTGGTGTTGAGTGGAGCAAGTTGCTGAAGATACATTCAGCTGATGGTGGAACATCTGTCTACAGAGGCTGAAACATGGAGATGTCTGTGTCTACAGTATGAGGAGACTAAATCTGTTCCCGTGTTGCTGACATCTGTGGACAAAATGTTGTTGATCCCAAGGTTTTTAAAGTTTGGGAAAATAAAGAATAAAAAAAATGTAACTTTTTCTCTGGTTTCCTTCATTCTAACTGAGTCCTGCTGACAGAAGACATCTCTGAGTTCTCTCTCCTCCTTCATGTTGTTCTGGTTCCTCAGAGCTGCAGGACTTTATGTAGAAACATGAACCTCAGTGAAGGACCATGAAAAACAGAAACTGCTGCCTGCTCGGAGTTCACAGGGTTAAGCTGAACTCTGACTCTGGAGGTCGACGGCTCTCAGACTTCATACAATACCAGGAAGTGAAAGAATTTCAAGGACTATTATGCAACAGGAGGAGGAGCTGCTGCTTTCTTACCTCTGCTGATTCGCTGCTTCTCTCCGGACAGAATTCCAGGAGTGTCGATGATGCTGATGCTCTGAAGGACCTGATTGGGCATCTGGGAGCAGATGAACCTGAGGAGAGAATTCAGGATCAGGCCTCTGTCAGACTACTTATATGAAAATGATTCCCCCTCAGAGTGGATCCTGTCTACAGATGGTTCTGGTAGGTTCTGGAGGTAAAACGGTCCTTCCATTGCCTAGAACTGGTTCTGACCAACCACCATCACACATGCTGATATGAGCCTGGAAAGTTTACCCAGAATGCACTTTGTAAAGTTTTCTCTGGTGACTGATCAGAACCAGAACCACATCCAGGGTACCAATGATTGTTTCTATGACTCTATGTCATAGACATTAAACTGGTACCACTATGAGACATCCCATAATACTGATGCTACCAGCTGCTGGCAGAGGACATGGTGCTAATAGGAAAAAATTATGAGAATGATTCAAAACTGTTCAGTATTTTTCACATTTTGCCAAACTGACAAACTCCACAGTCACCCAACAACTGTCCAAAACATCGACCTAAACGGTTTAAAACTGACTAAAGAGTTGTTCAAAATTAGCTAAAAATCATCAAAAGTGATGCAAGAATTCTCCAAAATGAACCAAACTTTCTTCAAGATGACATGAAGTTTGTTTAGTAGCTCAAAAATTCCCCAAAATTACATAAAATCTGTCAACGTGACTCAAGAATCGTCCAGAGTGGCTTCAACATGTGTCCAAAATGACTAGAAAGGAGTCAGAATGATTCAGAGATTATAGATTAAAGTCATGCAGAAATCAGGTCCAGTGTTCAGACTGAGACACCTGGATGGATGTAGAACTGATCTGGTGTCAGGTTCTACCAGAACCCAGATGTGTTCTTCCTCCTAAATGTCATGTGTCTATCTGCTGTAGTGATGAAGTTCTGAGGTTCAGAAATGATGGAAGACGTCCATTAAAGTGATCAATCTGGACCCTCCTCTGTGGATTTCAAGGACCTGGACCTCTGGAACATTCACAGTCTGAAGGTAGAACTCTGGTCAGTAGATAAAGTTAAAGAACCAGGTGGTTCTGAGGAGGTTCTGGTTGGTTTTATACAGACTGACTGCAGCTTCCAGTGTTTCTGTTTGTTTTCTGGTTAATTTCAGCCTAAACCTACTCTGACTGTATCTGTGAAGCCTCTCGTCAACTGAGAGATAAATTTATCCGACGGCGGCGATAAATCGCTTCGGCGTGTCGGCTGCAGGTTGGCAGCGGGAAAAAACAAAACCACCGTGCTGACACGTGGTGACGCACACACACTTCCCCCTGGAAACAATAAGTTATTGTGGTTCCTGCGCCGCACCGGGACGAGGTGGTTCTTCTGGACGCCTCGGGTTGACTGTCCTTCCACTTCCTCGCTGCCGCTCTTAGAAATATTTCTGGATGGAGGAAACGCACTTGGGCCGCAGTGTTTTCAGCTAAATTTAAACGGTGATGTGTCTGACAGCTACCAGCGAGTGTTTACTCAGAGGTCACTTCCCTCGCTGTAAATGTTTGGAGGAAAGCGGTGACAGCAGGGAGGAGGCAGGACGCCTCTGTGAGCAGAGGTCGCCATTCAGACCAGCAGCGTGCTCAGAGGTGAACATGCATCAATCATGGTGGACCAGAGTCAAAGTGCTCCTGTAGCTCCACATCAGGGACGTCCTGGTGAAGGGTTCTGACCTCGACTTGATCCGAGTCATTTAATATTGGGCCAGAAATAAATAAGTCTCAATATTGTTGAAACTGGTGAATAAATAATTAGAATTAATAGATAAATAGTTGAAATAGCTAAATGTAGATTAATTTAAGCAGATGAATAAACTTTAGAGACAGTTAACAAATTAATAAATATACGATACAAATGAGAAAACAAACTGCAAAAACAAGACAGAGAATAACACAAGCGAAAAATAAAACGATAAAAACAAGACACACAATGAAACAAACAAGAGAAAATGACAATATTTAATATTTTAGTATCTGCAGATGTAGTCTGAACCCATGTTCCTGATAATACCGTAATGTCTGGACTATAAGCTGCTGCTTTCTTCACTCGCTTTGAACGCTGCGGCTTAAACAACGATGCGACTAATTTATGGATTTTTACGATTTTTACGAATTTGCCTCGAGACCAAAGTGACGCTGAGAGAGACGACGACAGAGAGACTGAGGAAGTGATGAAGTGATTCTGAGGCTGTTCAGCTCCTGAAGACACTGAAGAAGACGACTTTAGTGGTTTTAGTGCAGGAGGAAGATGAAGATCGCGATCAGTGACTTTTCCTGGTAGACTGCCGTAGTTTTATTTCCTTAACCAGCCGTGTTACAGGAACTGTTCAGAAAAAAGCATCTACGGTACGTATCTGTGTATGTTACCGCTACGTATTTAATTAAATGTAAAAACATCTTTCTGAGTAAATATCTCATGTTCCAACGTGGACACCTGCAGCCTGTATATGTACACACCTGGTTTCCTGTTTAAAGGTAGTGGGTGTGGCTTATATTCAGGTGCTCAGTAGTCTGGAATTTACAGTGCACACTTTAAGCACATTAATGTGATTAACATCAGTCTGGTGTATCTGCATGACGACTTCATTTGTCTGCGATGCATAAAAAATAACTGCATTTCTGCCACCAGTCGGCGCCAACAGATGGAGTATTCTGTATTCTCTCCATGATGTCAGTAAATATATCATAGACCAGCTGTAGTACCTGGTTGTTGTACCAGGGGGAGCCTCTCACTGTTTAATCCTGTCGAGACCAGAGGACGCGTCTCTCAGACTACAGCTCATGGTGGCAGCAGAGAGTATTGTGGGAGGTTTAGCGTGTTTTGGACAAGTTTCAAATCATTTTGGAAAAATTCTATGTGATTTTGAACAAGTCGTCTGAGACAAAAGCTTAGTCATTTTCAAGATGTGTGTTTTTTTTTTTGACAATTACATTCTGAGAAAACATAATCAAGTTTTGCGGATTTTAGACCAATTTTGAGTCATTCTGGAGACATGTAAAGATGTTTTAGTCAGGTTTTTGAGTTTAGCTGTAGTACCTGGTTGTTCCACCAGGTGGAGCCTCTCACTGTTTAATCCTGCAGAGACTTGCGCTGTGGTTAAAGGCCATACTGATGGATTAAAGACTTCCTGATGAGGATATGTCTAACTAACAAAGCTGATGCAACTGAAATCTGCTGCCAGGGTTTCTCCAGTGGTCATTTGTGGCACTGCAGCCCCATCGACCTCCATTATAAATATTTTATGCTCTCTGGTGTGGATTTGACACCATATTTGTAAAACTGCCTGGAAACAGGAGTGTGAATCCTGTAAGCTAAAAAAAACGCTTTCTGGCGCCATCTTTGAGTCCAGTTCTTTATAAATGTGTGGCGTCGCTGCTGTATCTGATAAATTGGAGCTATGAAAATGTTTCAGGTGGAACCGAAGCTCTTGAGATTCTGTTTAGAGTTTTAGATCATCGGGTACTGAGCAGTGGAAGTCTGACCCTAAAGGTGTTAATCTACAAACCACTACACCCCAAACACAGACTGAATGCAGGGATTGCATATTTCTACTGGTCTGATCAGCAGCCGTCAGCTTGTATCTGCAGAACAAAGCCCCACAGGCCTGCAGGTCTCTCCTAAATTCTGGTGTATCGTCGGTGAAGTCGCCTCTTTGCTTGCTGGGTGTTTCGGTGTTTCTGGACTCGGCTGCAGCAGTTTTACTTCTTGGGTGTGTGAAGCAGTGAAACTAAGAATCTGAGCAGCTCCAGAATCACTAATCGCCGCAGCAGAAAGCAGAGCGCTGGAGTTATTCAGTCAGGATTGGGTTTAAGGCTGGAGGTCTGTCAGGACCGGGTGGAGCGCTTTAATGTCATATCAGAGTGCAGAGCTCTTATTTATCCAGCCGCTCGCTCTGCTGCTGCTGCACGTTAACAAACCCAGAAAGATCAGCGTCTAAAGCCGCTGAAGCTGAGGCTCTCTCCGCTGAGACCTTTGGGAGCTTCTCAGGTCTCTGGTTTCACGAGCTGCTCGATGAAAGATCCAATCAGACTTAATGATCAGAGATGAACAGGATTAACGATCCTGCAGGTCAGCGGACAAACATCCAGGTAACTGTTGATCCGATGGAGGCATCTGAGCCACATGTTAGTCCCTTTATCGTCTGTTTTCAAAACGTTCTCAGACACCAGAGAATCGAAACTAGCAGGAGGTCGCTCAGGCTGCTTGTGTTCTGTGATTCTTTTCAGAACTGATGACACATTTTCATGGAATAATATTTTTAAAGGTAAAAGTCTGATTGTTTTTTAATGGCAGCACAGAGTTGATCCCACAGATTAACCTCTGAACCCTAAAAGAGGCCTGTTATCTTTACAAAACCACCAAAATCCCATCATTTATCAGCAAAAAACTATAAAAACAGAAAGAACAATCAGGTTTTCTTCTTTCTCACAGTCTATAAAATCAGTGACGTGTCCCTCTGCTGGGAAACTGAAACCAAATCTGAGTTTGAAATCGTGATATTTGATCAAAATCATTTTATTCTAAATGTCTCATTTACAAATTCTCCACAAATAAACTGTTTGTTTTCACAGATAGGAGACAGAAGTGTCCCAAAGCGACACAAAAAGAGAAAAACGAGACACACGACAACACCAGCGACAAATAAAACCACTAAAGTGACAGAGATGTGGGACGCGTCGCTGTGACGTCTGGTACCTGTTCAGGAAGGAGTTTCCAAAGGCGTTGAGCTTCCTGAAGGGCTTCTTGGGGTCGACCACCAGAGCGTTGCCGGGGACGACGCCCTCGTTCTCTCCGTACATCACGGCGATGAAGCCGTCGGTGGTTGGCTCCGGACCGATCCGCATCCCCGGGAAGTCCTCCTCCAGCAGATACCTGCAGGAACCAGCATTCAGGGGGTTTAGCTTCAAAGAGACGAACATTCAGACGGTTCGTTTAGTCAGGAGCTGCAGCAGTGAACTGATTAGATGGTAACTGATTAATCAGCCTGAGAAGTTATTGGAAATAAAAAGTCTAAATCTTGTGAATGCATCCTATTCAATATATCTTTTGACAAAACAAGACATCCATCCATCATCGCTACACCTTAATCCTCACTAAGGGGGCGGAGTCTATCCCAGCTGAGTCAGGGTGAAGGTTCACTTGGACAGGTAACCAGTCTATCACAGGGCTACACTTAGAGACAGACAACCAAGCACACTCACATTCACACCTGCGGACAATTTACAATCACCAATTAACCTCAGCATGTTTCTGGACTGTGGGAGGAAGCCGGAGAACCCGGAGAGAACCCATGCTGCACGGGGAGAACATGGAGACTCCACGCAGAAAGATCCCGGGTGTCCTCACCGGGACGCCAACCGGAGACCTTCTAGCTGTGATGCTAACGGTGCTAACCACCGAGACACCTGCAGCACGTTAACTGATAACAACAAAGTTAAAATCACAAATATTTATTAATTAGGCCAGAAAAAAATCAACCATGAAAAAATAGGAAACTAAAACATTTTATTTTGTTAAAAAGCAAAGCACACGTTTTTACTGAAACATCCATGACTATGGCTGAAGGAAAAAGAGACATTCAGACTTTTGAGTCGTCGTCGTGGCTGAAACAGAGACGATGAAACGCTCACACAGCAGCTTCATGTTGTCGCCACGATGCTCATGTTGTCTGTGTCCACACACGGCTGCAGACTTTACATCACAACACTGGAGTCCGACAGACGTACAGATGAGGGTATACATACATGAACACGCTGCACAAAACTCACGTCATTTGTGCAGAAAACTCCTGAACTGGCCTGTTGACTGAATGTCTACAGTTGAAGCTGCACTGAGCAACATTCTGTGTTTCACAACCTGAAATTATCCCACATGTCTCATGAAAACCACCAAACACAACAACATCTGCAGCTATTTGTGCCTCCTGCTCTTCAGAAAGACTCCAAAACACGAGAAAGTTAAAGTTGAATCTCAGCATCCGCCTGCAGCAGCGTGAAGAGTCTGGATTTAAAGGAGTCGGCGGTGATTTTAAAGACATTTAAAGGTTAATTTCCTGACAGGTGAGTCTGAGGCCTCAGCAGCCATCTTGGTGACAAACCAGTGCAGTTATTTCAGGCTAATATCTGAACTGCATGTGTAGAATCACCAGTCAGATGTGATTATAAAGGGTTCGGTGACTTTACGACAAAACAATTATCATTAACAGCAATTAATCGATCAGCTGTTTATTATCCGTCGTCGTGACACTGTCGGTTTCTCCTCCCACCAAAGCACATGAAACCTGCCAGCGATCTGTTTTACTTTCACACCAGATTAAAACAACAGCTCTCCATCCTGCTCTGCTCTTCACTCTCAGTCCTCCGTCAGGGAACAGCTGCAGAGTTTAAAAAACGTTTCCCGTTCTTTCATCTCCTCGCCGACCTCTCGCATGCTTTTTCTCGTTAAAGAAAAGTGAGAAAGGAAGGAAGAGAGAGAAGATGGCCGCTGAGAGTGTCTGTCCTCCGACTTCCTGCTTTCAGGACATCAAAGAGGAGACGAGGATGGAAAACCACCAAGAGGCCGAAATTATTATTAACTCTGAGGTTTCCACAGAGCTGCTGATCCATCAGGATGCAGCTGATTGTGGCGCGTTCACCTGCCGACAGGTGACCTTTTCCTCAGTCAGATCATATGACTTCCAGCTGGAGGTCTGTTAAAGAAAAATCAGGTCACTGCTGCATGTCAACACCTGATCCAGGTTTCTGAATTCACCTGCACAGGTGAAGCTTCAGCCAACAGAAACACAAACAACAGAGAGAACAAGACAAACAACGTTAGACAATAAGTCTACGGGTTCATTTCCAGTCAGGTAACACAAGTCCAGACAAAACGCCTGAACTGTTTTATTGTTTTCATATAATTTACTGCAGCTTCACATGTGCCTTAAATCAACAGATATTTGAATGGAGTTTGGTTGGTGTGAGTCACATCTGCTGCTCTGGCTTATGATCAGAAAATACATCAATATTCATCATCCTCATTTATCACCTGCATGGAAACGGATGTTAAATAAGTTAATATCTGAATGCCGTTTGGTGTGAATTCACATAATTTGTGAATTAACCTGAGATTAGAAAATAAAGGAAATACATTCATATTGGCCCCTTCTGTTTGCCTTCATGTAAACTAATATCAAATTAGCAAATATTTGAATTGATTCTGGTATAAATGCATATTGGCTTCTTTAATCAGATAAATCAATGTTCACTTACATGTAAACTGATATTAAATTAGCAGATTTTTGGAGTGCGTTGTGAATTCATATTAGCTACTTTAATTTGTGATGAGAAAAAACATTTTAAAAAAACATTCATCAGCTCATCGGTGTGTCAACTGGCATTAAATTTACATAGAGCTGGTAGAAATAATTTAGCTGATTTAGATCCATGAATAAATATTCCTCATTAACTTCATGCCAACTAATCAAACTAGTATAAAATTAGCAAATATTTGAATGGAGTTTGGTCACTTAGATGAGTCGGCGTTGATGGAAAACATCCCACATACTATCATATACCAGCTATAAGTGAAGGGAGTACATTGTGGTAATTTGATTAATTGAGAGCACATTTTTACAGATGTTTTTAAAATCGGCTGATATTTGAATGGAGTTTGGTGTGGATTCACATGAGCTGCTTTAATCATACACATTCATATTCATCATTAATGTTCACCTGCAGACAAACTGGCACTAAGTTTGCAGATATTTAAATAGAGTTTAGTTTGGATTCTCAAAGCCTGTTTACATTTCTGATCAGAAAATACATTTTTAAAAAAACAAGCAATATTCATAATCAATGTCAACCTGAAGTGAAATTAGTAGATTTTTGAATGGAGTCTGGTGTAAAACTATATTAGCTGCTTCAACTACAAGAATCAATATTTGTCATCAGTGTTCAACTACATGCAAACTGACGTTAAATTAACAAATATTTGAATGGAGTTTGGTCACATGTGTAAAGTAAATACTAAAAAGCATCAACACTACACCTCCTGTTTGTAACTCAACACAAGTTACTACTTTCCCCTCAGTTTGTGGCCCTCGAGCCGCCCATTGGACCACAGCAGGTTTCACTTCAGCTCCGTCACAGAAGAAGAAGAAGAAGAAAATATGTTGAGTCTGCAGTTTACTGGCAACATGTTCCCATGATTCATAGCATTCCTGAGGGCGGGGCGGGGCTTAGCTAGCGACACACCCCTCCAACACACACACACACACACACGCACGCACACGCACGCACACACGCACGCACGCACACACACACACACACACACACACACACACAGTAACACACACACTCTGCTGGCAACTACAGTTTCTCTGCAGCTTGTTTGAACTGATTGCAGATCGATTTGCTGCCAGAACGTTCGACTGTTTGTACCCAACATGTGCACATAAAAGATAACACAACCAGAGACCCGACACTGGAGTCTGAAGCTCTACTGTCAGAACGTACAACTCTTTTACCAAAGAATGAACGGTGTCTACAGATGGTTTTGGTATCAAATACACACAAAAACAGTCCTTCCATCGTCTAGAACTGGTTCTGACCAACCACCATCACACATGCTGATATGAGCCTGGAAAGTTTACCCAGAATGCACTTTGTAAAGTTTCCTCTGTGACTGATCTGAACCAGAACCACATCCAGGGTACCAATGATTGTTTCTATGACTCTATGTCATAGACATTAAACTGGTACCACTATGAGATATCCCATAATACTGATGCTACCAGCTGCTGGCAGAGGACATGAACAGAACCAGGTCCAGTGTTCAGACTGAGACACCTGGATGGATGTAGAACTGATCTGGTGTCAGGTTCTACCAGAACCCGGATGTGTTCTTCCTCCTAAATGTCATGTGTCTATCTGCTGTACTGATGAAGTTCTGAGGCTCAGAAATGATGGAAAAAGTCCATTAAAGTGATCAATCTGGACCCTCCTCTGTGGACTTCAAGGACCTGGACCTCTGGAACATTCACAGTCTGAAGGTAGAACTCTGGTCAGTAGATAAAGGTTCTGCAGAGCCAGAACCAGGTGGTTCTACGGAGGTTTTCGGGGGGCCTTTGTTGATTTTATATGGAATTACCCATCTGAGACGTTTGAAACATCAGTCTAACCTCATCAGTGGCAAAAACCAGCACTTGTTCTTCAAATGCATCATCAGACGACCTTCAGCTGGTTTTTGTTGTTTTCACTTTTTACTGAACCAGTTTCCTCCCTATGAACCCACTGAGACCGAAACAACACCATGCATCCGCTAGAAATTTAAAAAATACAAATATTTTGAGGATTTTCAACTTTCCTTGAACTACTCTTATGTGATATTCTGTTAAAACTGTGACACTATATTAAAATCACTTAATTCTGCATGATGTTAATCAACCAAAAGTAAACGAACCAGATTTGGCAAAACCCCAAAAATTCTGAGCTACTCTGTGCGACTGTAAAGCCATGACTGACTTGGTCATAACCAACAGTCACGTGACAGAAATTCAGAGAGTCTTTGGGAAACAAGTCGGCTCATACTTAGAATAACCACTTAATTTTCAGATAAACACTAGTTGGTGCACATTTTGGCTGAAAATTTGATGCAAAAGCCAATTATTAGAAATAAAAACAACCACAATATGTACATGTAAAAAAGCTGTACAAATATAGATATACATCAAACACATGTCCACTCACATATGGTATAATATTTAAATATCTGTCGTATGAGGAGACAACGTTTGTTCCAGTTTTGGTAACAGCTACGGACACATTAGAAATGTTGATTTGTCAGATTTTTGTTTTCTTTTTTCCTCATTCCTTCCATTCTAACTGCAGGACTTCATATTGTAGTGACAAACGAGCCACAGTGAGGACAAATGAAACAGGAGTAAATAAAACAGCCAAACTGCTCAGACCAGGGCTGAAGCTTCAACTCGTGTCCTCCACTGCAGTTTTTGTGATTTTCTAGTTACAATGTTTTAAACTGCATGTAAATCTAAATGTTCTGGAACAACATCTGCAGCAGACGTTATTTGTTTTACTGTAGAACAAACCTGATTTAAATGAGGAAATATTCAAATTTGCTGCCCTCAATGCTAAACGTGACAGTTTCTCTTCCTGGTTCTGTATCAGGAGCTCCAGAACCCACAGCTGACCTGCTGCAGCCGCAGGTTTAGTTTGATCTGCTCCTGACTGACGTGTCGGAGCTTCTAGCTGCGAGTCAGAGTCAGAGTCTGCAGGTCGCAGCTCGTCTCTGCTGTCAAAGGGCTAAAACAGCGACTATGAGACACTCACAGTACAAACTGTCCACAGAAACTGCAGCGGCCTGCAGACCGAACCAGAGCAGGAGCTTCAGGTCCAAACAGAACCAGCACAGGAACATTAACCATCTTTCAAAACCAGTACACACCTCTATGATTAGTTTATCAGCTGAATAAACAACCAGTCACATCATTTGTTTTACCACTCGAGGGTTTCTCCTGCAAACAAACTTTAAGTCGACAGATTTTCTTATGAAGTCTGGCTGTGACTCCCCTCTAAACACTGAAGGTGTGTGAGCTGAAAACAGCTGATCCGTGAGGTGAGCTGACTGTTTCCACCTTAACGATTAAATAACAGTTTATAAAGAGGAACAAGTTGTGCCAAACTCCTTTCAAAAATTGCTCAATTTAAAACCGCCCTGTTATTTGGCAACTGGAAGGTGTGTTTTCACTGCAGGAAGCGTTGCAGGAACTCAGGTCGCCTCCCAGTGTTTACTCTGGAGGAACCAGGAGCTTTAGGAGCTTCTGGGGAGGAGCTCAGAGCGCTGAACGCTGCCAGCAGTCACCACGTTTTACAACCACGTTCAGGTCTCATGTTTGCAGAAGACATTTAGAGGGAATCTCTTTAATTTGATGAATCTCTGCAGGACTTTGGTGCTGCTGTGGGAACACTAAAGCGCTGCAGGAACTTTAGGAAATGTCTGATCCACTCAAGCAGCTGTCAGCACTGTTAAATTTAATGCAGTTTTCATGTGTGGATAAAAATTGACAGATTTTTTAATACAGTTTGGTCTGGATCCACATGAGCTGCTTTCATTTGGGATCAGAGAACAAATGAATGCTCTGAACCCCAAAACCCAGCAGCAGCTTTGAAATATGTCATAAATGACAGAATTAATCAGCCACATAGTGTAAAAACAGAAAAAGAGAATCAGTTTCTGCTTTTTTGAACGTGTCATCTGTGACAAGTAGTTAGCTCAGAAAAAATGGTTGAATTTAAGCTCAAAACGGTGATATTTCATTAAAACTGTTCAACACGTCTTGTTTAATAAACATTTGCAGCAACTAGACTCATTCTGAGCTCAACCGTGAAGCCACGACTGACTCAGAGCTTCTGGTGAACTGCAGGCAGTGTTTCCACAGAGCAAAGACGGAAGTTAACTAAAAATATAAATAGTTCAATATCTATAGTGTGTGGAGCCTAAATGTTTTATAGTGTTAGACATGTTGATTCCAGTTGTTTTCAATTTTTGTGAAATAAATAATCCAAGAAACTTGCTTCTTCTCTCTGGTCTCCATCGTTCTGACTGAGTCCTGCTGACAGCAGACGTCTCTGAGTTCTCTCCAAAGAAAAACACCCAGAGACTGGTTCAGTTCAGGGGGTGAAACAACTGGAAATGTGTTTTTAAAGACACAAACTTTATCTGCAAAAACTGAAACTGGGTTCAAGTGTGAAAAACACCCAGAAACTGCAGCTCAAAGAGAATTCATCAGTCTTCACCGTCAGCATTCACCTTCATGAAAACTGACCATAAATTAGCAGATATTTGAATGGAGTCTGGTGAGACAGTCACATATACAATAATGAGCAGCAGAACATAATCAGTATTTATCGGCTCTTCAGTGCAGCAGAATCAGTTTGTGGAAGCTGTTGTTAGCATCAGCTGCAAAAACTCACTTGGAATTCTGACTTCTGGCCTTTAGAGGACAAACGAAGCCTCTTGAACTGAACTGAACCACATGTTGTTGTCATGACATAACTTCCACTTGTTCACCATCTCCTGCTAGAGAAGAGTCAAAGAGCTTTAACCACAGAGCTGCTGGTTGGCTTTAACGAGGCCAGAACTCCTCCTGAGGCTGCTTTCATGTGCTCCACACGTGAGTTTCAGTAAATGAGCCTCTTTGTTTCCAAACAAAGGGCCTTAAATTGACTGAATTTCCCATGAAGTCTGGCACACAGTGAGCATCCACATCCTCCACATCATCAGCTGAAGCTCCATCAGCCAGATCAGCCTTAAATGACTCGCCAAAACGGGGAGTGATGTCACAGCCGTGTCACCGGAGTGACGTAATCAGGAAGTAGCGAGCAGGTCATTAATGAAACGGTGCAAATGGTGATGCTGATGTTTCCTGCCTGCAGCTCCATTAAACTACAGCCAGGAGACAGAAATAGAACTACAATTATGTAAGGATGACTCATCAGTTTAAAGCAGCTCTGATTGGTTCAAGTCTAACTGGCTCCGCCTCCTGTGGCTGAATCCATAAAGTCCAGCATCAATGGGGGCTTTAAATCCCCCAGTTTGTCCTGAAGGCAGCAACATAAAGGTTATTGTTTTATTCCACTGCTTCTAATCAATGAACCGCTTTTACGTGTTCAGTACACTCTGGTCCAGACTTGTATTTGTATTTAACTACAAAATAATCCTAAAATCTTTACATTTTTCCACTTTTTCAATTCAAAATTTGACAATTTTATTTGTATTATATGTTGTTTTTAAACTGTTTAGGGCACATTCAAATGGCTTAGCACACTGACATATGCTGCTAAACTCAACCTGCTTTACAGGGAAACAAACCGGGGAACAAAAGTGTGTTTTATTCTGATTCCTGAAGCACCAACAGTCCTCCTGAATGACAGCAAAAGTTCCTCAATTCAAGCTTCCTCTTTAGCGGTGTTGATGTGTTTTTAGGACTCTCTGAACATTCAGAAAACCTGCATCTGTTCCCTTCAATGAAACCATGAAAGAAGAAGCAAAGGCCTGACACTGATGCAGAAAATAAACAGTTTGATGCTCAAAGTTTGCAATTATTCGTAGTTTTTCTAGCTGAAGAAAATAATCCAGCAGTGATCACTGATTAATTATCTGCTGAGCTGTCAGTCAGTCATAATTTATATGTTCTTCATCAATATCAAGCAAATTCCAGATCCTATTTTTAAACTAAGTCTCACATTCACTCAGATAATTCAGTTAATTAACAGTCAAACCCAGTTTTTCTTTTTGTATTTGCTGATTTTGCTCCTCTGCACATTCATTTCAATATTTTCTTGCTGTTTTTATGAATTTATTTGATTTTCCTGCTGCACATAAACAATCTGCTGAATCTTTGTTAAACAGTAAAAATGTGCTTTTAAAACGTCATGATTGTTGTTTTTTCCAAAACCTGGTGAATTTCCTGCAGGTTCTGACTGAATGATGAAGGTTCCTGCAGCTCAGGACCCCTCTGGTCCTCCAACTTCCCTTTTCTTCTTCTCTACTTCGCTGTGAATCACTCAGACTGACGCACTGTTTATTTTTAGGAGTTTCTCCCGACTCGCCCCGTTTTAAGACACTTTTATCCTCGTGAATGTGACCTTGAATCAGGTCTGAACTCTCCTATAATGTGAATTAATGGGATTCTCTAATCACTCTTTCACCTGCTTATCTTAGTTGATTTCTTTTACTGAATTGTTTTAACCGGATACAGACAACACATCAGTAAATCCACCTTCAGATCTGATTTAACAACACAAACACAGGAGACTTCATGGAGCCACAGAATAAAGTCACAGTACAATGGCAGATCTGTTACACAGCACAGAGGAAAGAATCATTCAAAGCACCACGCAGTCACAACTACAGCTCCCATGAGCCTCAGCAGTTGTGCCTGAGGGGCGACTGGTTCAAAATCCTTCCAGTAACACCCATAAACTGAATTAAACGCTTTCACAACAAAGCTTACCAAGGTTAAGTCACGCAAAGAGAAGAGAAACTCAAGCCAAACTCCACTGAAAAAGTGTCTTATTTACGATTTTAACTTTTTCTCAATGTAAAGACAGACTTTAGACTTTTTTCCACTAAATTCAGGGAACAGTCTTGAATTCGGCACAAACCTAAGACACCAGGCTGTTTGCTGTTTCACTGATATTTCAGGTTGTCTGTGCTGCTTCTGTTGCCGCGCTTCGTCAGATTGCAACATTCTGGACGCTGCAACTAAAACATGAAGTTCTATTTGACCAGAAACACTGACAAGATTTAGTGGATTTTATTTCAGCCGAATTTGCCACAAGACTCCACACATCAGCTTGAGATATTACACTAGTCTGTGCGACTTCTTCGCCTTCATATGAAAGCAAGAGAGTCTTAAATTTGGGGTTTTTAGTATGAGGTCCGGCATGATGGGCCACCAGAGGTGATAAATTGCCTAATAAAGGTGTTTTTAACCACACGCAGCAGCTTCCAGCGCTTCCCGCCCTCTCTACAGCTGATGACGGTTCCGCAGGTGAAGGTTACCTGATGAAAGTGGTCTTCCCGGTGGAGTACTGGCCGACCAGCAGCACCATGGGTTTGCTCTGGAAGTCTGCCGGCTCCAGGGCCGGAGAGTGGAAGTCATGGAAGAGGTAGTTCTCCTCCAGCGGCAGCAGCTTCTTGGTGTAGAGGGTCTGCAGCCCCTCGGTCACCGTCTGGTACATCTCGCCCTCCTTGTTGCGGCCGCCCTGCTCCTGTTTGGCCCAGCTGAACATGCTTCCCTCCGCGCACTGACGCTCCAACTTCCCTGTTTCTCTGCTTCCAGTCCTGCGCGCAGATCCGTGCGTGTCTCTGGAGCACAGTGCCTCCTGTGTGCGCGGCTCCGGGCGGGTGCTGGAGCTGCGGCCGCTGCTGGTGCTCCTACCTGCGGGCACCGCCCTTCCCCCGTGACGCTGCACAAACAGCAGCAGATGAAGTCAGAGGGTCGCTGCGGTGGAAACAGTCGGAGTGAAACGTGTTGACAGATGATTCCTGCTTCATGAGCCTCCAACAGACCAAACACACTCATACACAGCATTTTTATGGCAGCTCGCGGTTCTATTTTCATCTTTTCCCCCTTTCCAGCTGATCTTGCTGAAGTTGGTTCATTAGTTTTACCATTTTAAAATGCTTTAATCAGTGTTTTAATTATTTCATCAGCTTTTAACCTCTTAATGCTTTCACTGTCGTTAATCCACATCTATTATTTGTGAGTCTACATTTTTTATTTTCTCATTCAGCTGTGCTGTAAATGGAAAAAATAAAAAAAATTTGAAATATCAGCTCCTCACATGTGAATATTTCCCAGTTTCTCAGTTTTTTTCTTTTTTTATGAGAGTAGCCTCAAAATTTGACATGTGCATATTTTTTTAGAAAACCTATGACATATGCTGGATTTTATTAAGGTATTTGACGTATTTTATTTTATTTTAATGAAAAAATATTAAATATTTATTAGTTATTTGACAATTTATTTTTCAATGTGACATTTTATAAAATCTTTGAAATGCTTAAAAAATATGACAATAAAAAAAGTTACACTTTAAAATAATGTAACATATCTTATGAAAAAATACATAGATAAAAAAAGTATGTATTATATGAAAATATTACATATGTGAAATATTTGTAGGACATATTTTTATATAATCTAAAATATGGCATATATGAAAATGTGGCATAACTAATAAAATATGGCATTTCATTAACTCTTTCACATAGTTTCTGGAAACATAGCATATAAATATATGACTCATTTTGGGACACATTTTTATTTTAAAAAATATTTATATTTTATGAAAATATGGCGTTGTTTGTGACAATATGTGAAACCCATGATATATTATGTATGAAAATATAACATTTATGAACAATTAACATTTTGCTAAACAATGCGACATAATAAATAAATTACGACGCCTGTTTTACGAATTATTCAAGAGATATTCTATGACAAATGAATATATAAAGTCATGAGATGCTGAAAAATGTGACACGTTTTATTAAAATTATGCAATGATATATTAATTAACTAGCATATTTAATAAAAGAATATATAATATGATGTATGTTTATGTATATTAAAATTAAAGTGAGCCTCTGGAAGGGACAATATACGAACTTACTGTGTATTAAGAATAATAGTGCCAGTACGAGCCATCAGGGGGCGCTGCAGCGGCCAGCTGGAGGAATAACGTAGAAGAAGAAGCAGCAGCGATTTTATCCGCAGTAGAAGAAGAAGGAAAGGAGGCGGAGCAGCTTTTTGTTTTGAAAGAGGGAAATTTAAAAGTGTACGTTAGTCTGAAGTTAATCCAAACAAACGGAATAGACCCAGAAAAATGTCGGAAAACTGACGCGTTTCACTCCTGGACGTAAAGTAAGTTCACAGAAAAACGTTCTTTCTTTTCAGGAAAAGTTTAATTTCGACGTTTCTTCTTTGACGTTTGAACGTCTGTAACGTTTGACACTGAAACGGACTTTGTGGTTAAAGAGCGGCTTTGCTGCGCAGCTTGTTCGGGTTTCTCTCCTGATACACGTCGTTGTGTTGTTCTACGGTCAGATTTAAAACATTAAACTGTGACTGGATGCCTCTATAGTGACGCTACACACCGTTTATGTCGGTTTAATCCTTCCCGCTAGCTGTAGGAGCTAGCTGCTCCAGACTAACCAGTGATCTGTTAACGAGTGATACTAGTGACAGATGTTTGGTAGGCGTGGCTACTCAGGACCCCTGACCAGGAAATAAACAACTTGACAAGTTAGTCTCTAAAAGTCAGATTTCTGCTGTACTTTTCTTTTCGGTTTTGACAAAAATATCTGGAAATAAGAGCCTCCTCATGCTGTCTCATTTAAATTCACAAACATCAAAAGTTGCAGAGGATAGAAGGAAGGTGATCCAGGTTAACTGGAGATGTTTGCTGTATTTACCCTCCAGATGTTTGCAGATTCATCCCGACCAGACCTGTGTGTGTGTGTGAAGATAAAGATGGAGAAGACCTCACCGACAAAAGTAAACGTTAGTAAAGCCTATATCCATGTCAGTATCATCTACAGACAGCAAAACCAAACATGCTGACCAAAATAAAAAACGTGTATTTTTCAAGTCCAATGAGAGGATTCAAAATCATGTCATCCAGATGTAGAAATACGAGTTCTGTGTTTAACTCATTGTGCCACCGATCAGCTCCATTAGGATCCTTCTCATTCGTGACCCATTTCATCCATAGAGATCGTTTCCATCCAGCCAGATGTTTAACACCAGGTTATTACTCAGATCAACAGGTGATAGTCACAACTTAACATCCAGAGATACGGAGCAGAACTTCAGGCTTAATTCGGGTTTGTTCACTAAAACACACGCAGCAGAACATGAGTTTGGTTTGATAGAATCATCAGAACAAACTGAGGCCACGTTGTCAGAACTACTCACTGAGAAAACACTACAAACATGTCCAGTCCTCCGTCACCAGTCATGTCAAGCGATGTGTTTTTCTGTCACTTCTTAGAAACACGTTCAATTTAATCAAACCAAACTGATGCTGTGCTGCGTGTTGTTGTGGTGGGAGGCTGCTGTGTGTGCTTCAGTGAACAAACCCGAGTTAAGCTTCACATTCTGCTCTGGATCTCTGAGTCTGAATGCACAGACTGACACACAACACAACACGGTTCTATGTTGTGGGTTTTGTTCGGTAAGATAATATGTTTTGTGTGTCGTTATTAAACAGGCAGTGTGTGTCTGTGTTAAGTTGTGACTATCATCAGTTAATCTGGGTGTGTTTCCTGAATAATGGAAAAGATATATAGGAATGAGAAGGATCCTAGTCGAGCTGATTGGTGGCACAATGCGTAAAACACTGAACTCGTACTTTTACATCTGGACCACATGGTACCGAATCCTCTCATCGGACTTGAAAAATATGAGTTTTTTTTATTTTTTATCAGCATGTTTGGTTTTGCTGTCTGTAGATGATATTGACATGGATATAGACCTTATTAATGAGTGATGTTGACTTTTGTCAGCGAGGTCTTCTTCGTGTCGTATCTTTATCTTGACCCACAGACAGGTCTGGTCGGGACGAATCTGCAAACATCTGGAGGATAAATACAGCAAACATTGTCAGTGAACCTGGTTTCTGTCTCACCGTCGGACTGACGTCACATCCTGTCACTAGTTAATCTGGTCAGACTGTCGTACTCCACCGCGGCTCAGCGATGTTTCCATTCCACCGGGTGAAGCTCGCTTCAAACCATGTGTTTTACTTGTAGGCTGAACAGCCTTGACTCACTACAGCGCGATAAGTGGAGCCAGTGTTAAAGCTGACAGCAAGAACATTTTGCAAGAGTTTAATGACGTTTGTGTTTTTTTGAACAGGCGTCGGCACAGTCAGCTACGATCTACATTACTGCTGTAAGAGCTGCTTACTGAACATCACCAGTTAATCTGAAGCTTAGCAGTAGCCTGTAGGTGTAGACAAGGCACCTGCCTGCAGGCCTCCACAGTCAAGTCAGTTCTGGTGCAGGCTCTTTTTAAAAAAAATAAAAATAAAAATATTTTTTTCAAAGACTTTCTTAAACAACAGCAATGATACAAAGCCTTGTAGGAAAATCACTAGTGCACATACATGGTCAAGTGAAGAGTATAAAACGCAGTAAACAGAAATAACAACAAAAGTGGGCTGCAGTAACATCACATCATACTGAGCAGGCTGCATATCGATGGGTTTCTTTCCGACAAGAGTTCTAAACACTGAAAATAATTCCTCAGTTCTTTTCTGAACCCAACAGTGGAGGGCAGACAGTTCTTCCATTTTTTTACTGTGGATATGATATTTGCCTAAAATAAAAACAATACTGACAAGTTTTTGGTATTTTTCAGGGATTGCTTCAACATACAACAATGTTTGCAGAGGATCCAGAACAATGTCATGACCTGTTTTGATCCAAGTAATAACTTCTTTCCAAAATTTTAAAGAAAATGGGCAAGAAAAAAAACAAGTGCTCTAATGTTTCTCTACCATCTCCATGAAAAACACAAACATAGCTCTGCCTCACACTTAAACCGCTTCTTCAGAGGGTAGTAATGATTAATTATTTTAAACTCTGTTTCTTTGACTTAGGGAGAAACAGGCCACTTCAAATCATTTTTTGGGATCATGTGGTTCAGAAGTGTCACCCACCCCGGACTGCCAAAATCTATTTCTGTTTAAAAGCATGGAGGATTTTTTTATTATTACATTGCTTTTTCTCTCATTTTTAATTCTGGTAGTTTAGCGATCACCTTTGAATTTATTAGAATATTTTTAATCATCTGTAACAAGGAGGTGCTGCAGGTGTCTCGGTGGTTAGCACCGTCGCCTCACAGCTAGAAGGTCGCTGGTTGGCGTCCCGGTGAGGACACCCGGGATCTTCCTGCGTGGAGTCTCCATGTTCTCCCCGTGCAGCGTGGGTTCTCTTCGGGTTCTCCAGCTTCCTCCCACAGTCCAGAAACATGTTGAGGTTAATTGGTGATTCTAAATTGTCCGTAGGTGTGAATGAAACAAAAATGACAATAAACAAAAGTTTAGTACATAAATTAAAACCATATAAACGCATTCACACTGTCCTCACAGTGGAGCTGTCCTCCTAGTAGAGCTGTCCTCTTAGTAGAGCTGTCCTCACAGTGGAGCCTGCACCGGAGCGGACCTGAACAAGCCCTGGCTTCGTGCTCGACTGGATGAACCTCCTCAGGGTTCCTGCGATGACCCTAAACACACAGTCCATGCCAGCTGTATAGATCCTCCTCGTGTCTCTGCATCCATTCACCTGCTCTGTGTCCACATGATCACCAATCGGGTCGTTTTATGGGTTGAAATAGCTTGAAAGGACCGGTTCAGCTCCTATAATGCAGTTTTCCTCCTCTGAAGAAGTGATCATAGCTCCTGCAGTAAAATGTTATAAATGCATCAGAATAACTTGATTTGATTCCTGACTGTTATATTTATATCCATCCATTATCTATACACCGCTTAATCCTCACGAGGGTCGCGGGGGGGCTGGAGCCTGTCCCAGCTGACTTAGGGCGAAGGCAGGGGACACCCTGGACAGGTCGCCAGTCTATCGCAGGGCCACACTTAGAGACAGACAACCAAGCACACTCACTTTCACACCTACGGACAATTTAGAATCACCAAATAACCTCAGCATGTTTTTGGACCTTGTGGGAGGAAGACGGAGAACCCGGAGAGAACCCACGCTGCACGGGGAGAACATGCAAACTCCACGCAGAAAGATTCCGGTGCCCCCACCGGGACGCGAACCGGCAACCTTCTTGCTGCGAGGCAACAGTTTATATTTATATATATACACATATATACAAATTCATAAATTGTGTTAATTCCGGTGTAAACCTGTACATTAAGCAAACTGAATGTCAGATTAGATTACATCATGAACTACAAACTTTTTTAAAAAAAATTTTCCTCTGCGATATTACAAAGTGGTGAAAAATGCTCTTTGTGGTTTGTGATGTCTTGGGTTCAATATAATATCAAGTTTAAATCTTCACATTTAAGAAGCTGGAACCAGTAAATCTGTCACATCTGTGCTTTAAAACCAGAAAACAGACAGACGATGATGCTGCTGATACAAAAATGAACCGCTGTTTTTATCGTCGGTTATTTTCTGGATGAAGTGATTGGTTGTTTGGTTACGAAAAACGTCTTGTTTTGTTCAAAGATATTCAGTTTACGCTCACAGAGGAGCAAAGAAAGCAGAAAATGTTTACATTTTAGAAGCTGCAATCAAAAAATTGAGACTGTTTTTGTTTAAAACAAACTGTTTAACCAATTAAGAAGAGAGTTGGTGATGATTAATTTTAGTCGATAACTACCAGATTAATCATCGCAGACTGCACATTGTTTACTGAAGGTTTTGCTCTTGCAGGATCGATCGACGCCAACGTGATGAAGAAGAAGACGGGAAAGTTGCAGGGCGACAGCATCAAGGAGGACTGTGAGTTAAATGATCACTTTAACAACCGTCACTGCTGCGGCCGTTACGCCGATGAAGAATATAAAAAAAAAATAGAGTATAGAATAAAAAATCTGAATAAAAAATAAAAACCAGCTGGGATATTGCATTCAAGAAATTCTTGCACTAGGAGTATGAACAGAGATTTTTCTGTTTTACATTGAAGAATGGTTAATGGGAATTTGCGGCGTTCAGGGCAACGACAGCTCTTGTGTATAAACTGTTCTTTAGTCTGAATGAATGAATGAATGAATGAATGAATGACTGTGTTTTGTTTCCAGGCTGTGCTCTGTGCAGGTTCAGTGACGATGATCCGGCCTTGTTCGGGGAAAAAGTGACTCTCAAAGAGCACAAGCTGTCCGTCCACTACTTCTGTTTGGTGAGTTTATACGAGTTCTTTGCTTCATACAGCAGCTGTCATGCAGGTAGAAAGTCACTCAGAGGATTTACAGCGAACGCATAAAGCAATAAAACCGTGTTGGGAGACGAGTGCATGCCACAATACGAATAAAACATCAAAAACAAATCAGACAGGCTGTTAAAAAGTAAATAAAATAAATACAAAATAGAAAAACTTGTTAACCTACTTAAGAGGAATTAAATTAATAACTATTATTTTATAATCATTGTTTATATTACGATATAATCAGAGCCTTAAGAATAAAATAGAACATGAGAGATAAATTATGAAACTATTCTGAAGCCACCAGTTACAGAAGCTGTGTCCATTTGTTCATTCATTTCATTTAAGCAACAGAAACGAAGACCAAACTCTGCTTTCACCTTTTCCAGGTGCAGTCTCTGATCGCACCTTGTATGTGTCTGACTTCTTGTTGGGTTCTTTAAATTCAGAAAACAGTGAAAAATATCCGTCAGACTTTACAAACTCCAATATCAAGAAGCCAGTTTTGTTTAACCAACTTTCCAAACTGCAGAAATAATCAGCCTACTATCAAGAAAGCGTTTTAAAATGGCTGAAATGATTGTCCAGATTTGGTATTTTAGGTTTGAACCTTAATATTTAGACTGGTTGGGTAAATTTATAACGTTAACTTAATTCTCTATGTTGTTGTTGAGGGTTGTTGACTTCTGTACATCCTGCTTTGTGTTGTCTGTCGAAGCACTGTGCTGTATAAATCAGGTTATTATCGTTAAATAGGTGCAGATTATTCTGTCCTGTGAGACTCAATACATCCTTTATGTTTCTCAGATGATCAAAGCCAGTTCGTTTGATGGAAACATGCTTCAGTGTCTTTATGACTTTATGATGGATCTGATATTTAGAATGTGTTTTATCACAATCATGTGTCTATCAGCTTACGTCTTGTGGAGTTTACCAGCGAGGAGAAGAGAACGAAGGCATCTTCGGCTTCCTGGTGGACGACATCAAACAGGAGATCCGACGCTCGGCTCGACTGGTGAGTTCAACGTGTTTTACCTCAAAACCTTTAGAGCTTTAGATGAACGAGTGCAAACAAAACTCAGTCAGGAGTGAAACCGATGAACATGATCTGTATGAGCAGGCCTTCTGTGTGTTTACTGTTTGTTTGTTTGTTTGTTTGTTTGTTTGTTGTTTGTTTACTGTGCTGCAGTCGTGCTGCGTCTGTAAGAAGAAGGGAGCTTGTGTCGGCTGCAACGTCAGAAGCTGCAGGAAGATGGTTCACTTTCCCTGCGGGAGGAAACAGATGTTTGTCTCTCAGTTTACTGGACTTTTCCCGTGAGTTCTGACTAACATCTACCTGTTTATTGTCAGAGTTTTTTCTGAGCTCCAACTGCAACCAGAGACGAGGACAGAAGCTTCCAGTAGTCACCTTCAATTCTCTGAGCTGCGTCTGGCCGATAGCTAACTGTTCAATAATGTAAACAGCTTTTTGCAGAAGACTTTTAGTGCTTTGAACGTGCGTTTTCAGTTGTTTCACCCTCTAAACTCAGAAGGCTTTCTGTCTCCTGTTCCTTCACTGAGGTTCATGTTTCAACATAAAGTCCTGCAGCTCTGTGGAACCAGAACCACATTAAGGAGGAGCTCAGAGACATCTTCTGTCAGCAGGACTCTGTTAGAATGACAGACATTGTTTAAAAAAAGTTGCATTTTTTTGATATTTTATTTTGCAAAAATATAAACAACCTGGAATCCACATGACCAACATTTTTCTAAGTATTAAACTGTCAGCGTAAGCATTAACCTCAGATTTGGTGGATGTACTGAGAGAACCACACAGTCAGTCAAAGGAAATGAGACAATCTGATGAGTCGTCCTGTTTTTACGGTTTCTGGCTGATAAATGTTGTCATTTTAGCATTTTAAAAAGACTGCTGATGAGTTTTTGGGTTTCAGAGGGTTAGCTGAACATAAAACATAAACAAATGCATTTCAGTCACCAAGATCTCCACTTTTACTACAAGTCGTGTTTGTTCCTAATCAGTTCTGGTTCTTCTTGATCGATACGAACCAGTGTGTAATCAGACCACATCAGCCGACTCCAACCAGAGAAGCTGAATGTGGTCCAGACCCCCGTCTCTCTGTGTCCAGGTCTTACTGTCCGGATCACAGTCCGGCTCAGTCCCTGTGTGGAGGTTTGGACATCAGCCTGCCTCAGTCCTGCTCCATCTGTCTGGACTCCATCGACCCCGTCCTCTCCTTCTCCGTTCTCAAGTGTCCGTCCTGCCACACCAGCTGGTTCCACAGAGACTGTGTGCAGGTAGAACACACCTGTGTGACTGTCTCAGACCTGCTTTAAAATGTCTTCAGCGTGTTTATTCAGACAGATTTCAGGAAACATGTCGCAGCACTCTCTCAGATTTGGTTGAGACAGATCACAGGGATTGAATGACTCCAGCAGAGGACATAGTTTTCAATTTGGCCCGAAAAATAGAAGAAAAAAAAAAAACTCCAACAACTGGGCTGGTGTTGGTCCAGAAATTTCCTGTCAGTGTCTATCTATGGATGGATCCATGGTTCTACTAGAATCCAGTCTCTGGTCACATTTCACCACCTGTTGAGGCTCTAACGTCAGTAGAACCTGATGAGGTGAAGTTGGACCAGACAAGGGTCCTGGTTTTTTTTTTTATTTCAACACATCAACATGCTGATATGAGTCTATTTGGTCCCTGGTCACCTGTTAAAGGTACAGAAAAGTAACACACCTGTCCCTCACCTGGTAAAGGTACACAAGTCTAACATACCTGTCCCTCACCTGGTAAAGGTACACAAATCTAACA